AAATCTGAATTAGTATAAGAAAAAATTGACATGAAAAAATATCACGGCCTTTTCACTGGTTTCAACAACCAGTGAAAAGGCCGTGAATTTTTTAATTAAGCATGAAAGGACAAATTATCACTGGCCGTCGGACTTTTCACGGGATATTGAAATTTCACGGTCTTTTTCTAACATCAAATATTTTTCACGGCCTTTAGAAATATTTTTTTTACAAAAGTCACGGGGTATTTTCACGGGGTTTTCACGGCCCTGTGATATTTCACAGACATTTCACGGCCTTTTCATGGGCTGTTGTTACAGTCACTGGTGTTAAACTGATCACCGTAACTGCAGTTACGGTGATCCCAACATGGCGGAGCCCAAAACAGGTAAAATCGTCTTTTTGTAATTTCTCCGTGTACACGCATTGTTTTAAAGAATTACTCAGCCGCTAGGTTGATATGTACGGTATTGTTGTATGTGTGTGTTCTTAATATCATATGTGACCTTGTTACCGAAATAATAGACATTGAAAATTTACGGAAGATCATCGTAACTCCAAAAGAAGATAGTCGTAACTTGTGGACAAATAACTTGAAAGATAATCGTAACTGTATAAAATATGTCTATGATCATAGTAACTGATTTTGTCAGAAACCTCTGCTAACGGAATATTCGATAAAAAAATGTTGTGTAAAGATAACAACAAACACGTAAACAACATTCGTGATCGAAATATTTTTTCAACATAAGGTAAGTTTGTAATTTTTCATGATCATTTTTACAAATATTGGTATACTATTCGGGACAACCACATGTCAACGATATTAAGAATATAATGCATCCTAATGTTAAAACTGTACTAAATTATAGTTGTAACAGGAGACGGTTCGACCTTAGTACATTTTTTATGTATCAAATATCCTTTTTGAATTATCTGTGTATTTTATTTGGTAAAGTCCGTAATGTTAACTTAGCATCTAAAGCTACACGTATTTTCTACATTGTACTGATGAGCTCCTTTTTATCGTGTGTAAAAATATACAATCTACTCGAACAATACGTATACAGTCAGGATTCTACTTCGTCAAAATTATCTCCCCATTACGCTAGTTCATTTTTACAATCGTAAAAATGGAAGCCATTGTAGGGATGACGCACTGCCAATTTAGCTCTTGAAAACCGATTAATTTATCCACATAGCACCATTACGATCCTTATATGCCAGTTGTAATTTAAAAGACAAATATATCTACTAGCTAATGAGCATCAGTTAATGTACTTGTCTGCATTCAGTCAACTTAAAACTATTGTCTGATCGGTTGTCGGGTGGAATTTTCGAAAATTCATAACCATTTAAAAAAATTTTAATTCAATATTTCGTGGAAGGGTAGACTAAAAATGTTCAGTGGTTGAAGACTATAAACCCTGGATATCACATACAAAAAATGAAGTTTTTTTTTCGAAGATATGCATTTTTAAGATCCAACTTAAAAGTCTGTCGTCAGGTACTTTTAGTAAAAATTTGCTATTCGAACAAACCTACTCTGTTTTTGTGATTCATAAGAAAGGTATTTCACTTGACCCATATATTTCATATTTTTAGTACTGTGAATTTTCGATGTTATAAAGTCAACCTGTAGCCTTGATATATAAAAATGATAGAATCTGAAGCGAGATGATGTATCAAATACTTTTGCTTTTTACGTTTTCAAGACACAATATTCAACTCAAACACGCCCTAACATAAAAAGGTGCACTCGGTTTTCTCTTTTCGATGCAATTGTTACCCATTTTTTGGAATTATTTCTTAAGTCACATAATGGAAGGGCAGAAACGAAACTTAAGGAACAAATAGATTGATATGTTCTTCGTCCGTGGTATTATTATTTTTTTAAATCGGAGGTTATGCATTTTTTAGATCCAACTGAATAGACACCCATGTCGTCGACTTGATATCTAATTGTTCTGCTTAATTATGTAATAGATAAATTGAAAACTTATGCAAATGGTGTTTTTATAATAAAATACTTCGTAATTTAGCCGAAAACTGTCATTTTATTTGTTTCTATTAACTTTTAAAATTTTTGTTACTATAGTAAACATTACAGTAAGCATTTATCGCCTTCTCTAACAAAGAGCTTCGATTCTTTTGTTCTGTTTCAACTGGGTTTCCACCTTTATACTCTGATACTGATCACGGACTTTGACTTCAATATCTCTATAAGTTAACTGTAAATTGAATACCTGCAATCGGACAATTATATTAAATCAAGCGTAATTGATCTTATGGCTCGGAAATAATTAATTTTCGAAACACAAATCTACTTGATATTTCCGACTTCAAATTGTAAAAACCGTCTGTTAACCTCGTATAAAGGTTCGAACCACTGGGCCCTGAGTCTCCATGGCTGAAGAGATCGAAATAAGTATTTTTTTTATAATTTAATAAGGTCTCTCAGAATATCAACACATGTAAATTGCAATAACAATATGAAGTACCAAAGTCAACAAAGTACACTTAAAACAGAGCACTCAAATAAGTCTATCAAAATATTGCATTGTAAAATAATGTAAAAGTTCTTATCAAAAATGTAAGATGAATATTAACGGCTTCTAAACAAATAGAATTCTACCGTAAACAACTTAAACTATTTAACTTTATCGTAATCTCATTAAATATTAAATTCAAAACCCCGAAATACACAAACTCTCTAACTCAATTATTACTAGAGCACGCTGTGGAATTAGACTCCATATTTAGAAGGTGCTTAATTAGATAAAACAGGACAACATAAAGTAACGAAGAATCACCCTGAGAAATAAAGCATATCGGTTTTACTCAAACCAAGTTGCAGTGTCTTATTCAGACATCGGGGTATAATAAACCCGTAAGCCCTTAATAATATAAATAAACAACGGCGGTTTTATTCAAACCAAAATGTTGATTATGTCTTATACATGCCTTTGCATTATACAATCAAGCGGCCGAAATAATAAAATATATACTTTATATACTGATTACAGGTAAAGAAATAACAACTTTAATCAAAGCGTACTTCGATACAAACTTGTATATAAAGGTGTACTCGAAAATACTTTAATCTATACATCTATTGATTAATACCGAGAAGAAAAGAAAAGCTTTTAATAATTTATCTTATGTAAAAACACCGAGAGTCCTTACTGATTAATCAATAAAAATCAACTACACATTTTAGTTTACCCTGGATACGAACATGTAAGCAAATAAAAATGACGAAAATAAATTGAAAATAGAAACAAGCCATCCTACACGTAATTTTGAATATAAAAAACGATTCTGCCACAATATCTTCATTTAACACTCTTAGTAACTTCATTTTTTCGTAGGTTATATGCGCTATGTGTTCTTTTATGTATAGTGCAGACGCAGTATTGCCGCACACCTTTAACTACACACACCAAAGGAACTAATTCAACATTCAGATTACGAAAAAAAGTGTTTGAAAAGGGAACGAGATTCACAGGAAAATAAGATACCGTGACCTAAAGCATATCTTTACTTGAAAACGAACGTTATTTAAACAATAGTTTCCATTAGTAATGTGTGAACATGGAAAATGTTTGCCTCTCCTTGTTCATGATGAACATTTACCGTAAATTAGGACTTGTAAAATATAAAGACTATATCTACAAAGCAAAAAGTAACTTGGTAAATTATTTACTAGTTATCAAACATTCAAACACGATTTATTTAGTCGCCCATCAGCATATAAAGAAAGTTACGATCATCACTGACAAGTTACTATGATCATGTACAAGTTACGACTATCTAATAATCAAGTTACCACTATCATAACAAACAAAATTCTTGGAGTTACGATGATCTTCCTTAAATTTCCAATGGCTATTATTTCAGTAACAAGGTCACATATGATATTAAGAACACACACATACAACAATACCGTACATATCAACCTAGCGGGTGAGTAATTCTTTAAAACAGTGCGTGTACACGGAGAAATTACAAAAAGACGATTTTACCTATTTTGGCCTCCGCCATGTTGGGATCACCATAACTGCAGTTACGGTGATCAGTTTAACACCAGTGACAGAAGTGACACAAACCATTTACAATCTTCCAAGAAATTTCAACATACAGACCTACTTATCGGATAGTGAACACGAAAATAATTTTATAAGTTGTACAAAATTTTATTTTGGAAACAAGAAGATTTAGCATTGGAGTCTTCTAAGTATATTATAGAATAAATTAAAGTAAGAAATTTTAATTAAAATTCTACTGAGATTGGCCTATAGGTATAGGCATATACAAAAGCATAGATTAGTTCTCATTTTCATATTTACTCTGCTGTTTTTGTTACTCGTGATGTGTGGATGCAGTAGAATGTGTTCCCATGCCTGTAGTGTATGCCCTTGTACTTTTACAGTTAGGATGTTTTGTTTGTGAGAGAGCTGCCTACATATTCCATTCCATTATATTAATGTTCTATTTCTTCTACTGTATTTTATCCCTACCCCCTTCTATGTAATTTCTGTGTCATTTGGTCTCTTGTGGAGAGTTGTCTCACTAGTAATCTTACCACATCTTCTTATTTTTATACAGCTGTCTGAATAGAATATGAAAGAAAGAAATCCTGTTATCATTATCGCATACATTATATATTGCAACGTGTGACAAAACCGATTAAGGGAAATGCCAGCACATGCTGCAATGTTGAAAACTTTTGTCGTTTCATTCATCAAGAAATCACATGTAATGAGGCGATTTAGAGCTTGACCTGTTCAATTGACCTCTAGATGTTATTTCAGAAATGTGTGTGTCATCGGGTTTCTATGTCATTGACGTATAAACATTCAAATCATATGCCAATGCAATACTAGTATGTTTAGATGTCAAAAAATCATCAATATCATTGACCACAACGACCATAACATTTATGTAAATAAAGATATGCATTATTCAAAGAGAACAATTAAATTGTGTTCTATTTTTAATATGTCTTCGATTGATACACTTAATATCCTTTTCTATAGGATCTACCACCATAACCGCCTCGACCTCCACCTCCTCCGCCACCTCCTCCACCTCCTCCACCTCCATAACCCTTGCCTCCATAACCGCTACCACCGCGTCCTCCGCAACCTCCTCCATTGCCATAACCCGTGCCTCCATAACCGCCACCTCCTCCACTTCCATAACCACCCATAACGCGTCCTCCGCCACCTCCTTCACTTTCATAACTCGTGCCTCCATAACCGCCATTACTGCGTCCTCCGCCACCTCCTCCACTTCCATAACCGCCACCACTGCGTCCTCCGCCATATCCACCTCCACTGCGACCGCCGCCATAACTACTCATGCCATATCCTCCACCTCCTCTGCCTCCACCACATCCATATCTTCCTCACGGCTGCCATATCCTCCTCCACCACCGCCGCCATACCCTCATCCATAACTACTTGCAATAAGGGCTAACAGGGTAAGAAGAATAAAGGATCTCATCTTCGTTGCTGAAAAAATAATCAACAGAAAGGATGACACATTAATTGATCTTTATTGTATCAAGAAATATTAGATATATACCATGGCGTAGTAGTAACTTATGTTTTAATTCTTACTCAAAAGAACAATCGATGTCATCATGAAGGATTTCAAAACATATTTTTATCAATTTTAAATTCGTACTCCATTGAAATGTTATAAGGATATTATAGAAAAACAAAGGATATGGGGTATCCATCCATGACGCGACATCAGTACATGCACAGAAAAAAACACACAAACTAGCAAAAGGAACAGCGCTTTGTTTGCTGTTCTTTATCTCAAAGTCACAATGAGGCCTTCAACACAGAGCAAAAAACTCTCAACTCACTGCAAGTTTTAGACGTCTTATAGCACCGGCTTTAGCGGATTTCTTTGCAAAAATAATTTGGATAGACTTTGTAAGATGTAACACCACCAAATCGCGACGGGTCAAAAAAGAACATTCTTGAAAGTAGAACATATTTAAATCAAAATAGTTCCTACGCATCGCATAGGTGTAAATATAAAACTTTGTAGAATAATAACGGTATATTGACACACCCCCCCCCCCCCCCCCCCCCCCCCACACACACATTAATAAAATGTTTGAAAGAGAAAAATTTCACTTAAAGCATTTTTTTCAATAGCTTGTCAATGAAAGCCACAACTCTCTATTTATCAAATACAAATGTGTATGAAATTACACAGAGAAATTAAGAAACGACACTTTTAATTGAATAATTGAATTTTGATATTGTACTTATTTGTTTGTTTTTTTTTTTTTTATTTCTTTCAAACTTTAATTGAACTCATATGATTTTTTTTTAAATTTTAATAACTGAATTAAAAAAAAAGAAATATATACTGTGAAAAACTGAAACAGCTAGAAAAAACTTAATGTTTCAATGATTTGTATTGTGTCATATAGAGTCGGAATTATCCAAATACATTTCACATTTGAAATGTAATAAATCATCAGACTTATAGAGAAATAACAATAATAGGTGCAATTGGAAAACTTTTTAACAAAATTTTAAATCTACGACTGGACAGATTTCTTCAGAAAATTAGTATTATACATTAAAGTCAAATTGATTTACGTAGAAAGCCATAACGGCAGACCATATGTTCATACTCAGTATATTCCTCATGAAAACATAATGTAATTTAAAAGAAGGGAGACTGTTATCCTGTTTTATTGACTTTTCAGAAGGCTTTTGATACTGTTATTCATACAGCAATCAAAATGAATCTACTAAAGATTGGGGTTCGGTCTTACTTACATAACATTGTCAAGAGTATGTATGAAATTAGTAGATAATGCGTCAAAATTCAAAATTTCCTCATTAAATACTGGCGTCAAACAAGATGAAAACATTATTCCTAACTTATTCAAAATATTTATATATATGATTTACCAAATTATTTGTCAAGGACAAGGGACCTTGTCAATGTTAATGATAAAGATTCACATTGTTTAATGAATGCTAATAATATTGTTTTATTATCTAGATCAGCAGAAGAGCTACAAGACAAACTGAAATTGCTTGACATTTTTTGCAAAGATTAGTGTCTCAACGTGAACACTTACAAACAAGGATTTTGATTTTCAACAAAGCAGGCAGACATGTTAAACAGAAATTCGTATTCCAGAATATAAACCTGGAATGTGTTTCAAAATACAAGTACCAGGTTTATATTTAATCTCATCGGGCTCGCTAAGTTATGCTCAAAGTGAACCGTACAAGAAATTCATAGAATCTTATTGTAAATTGCGTCAAGTTTTTATCATTAAATCTTAACATTAAAACAAGCCTTTATGTTTTTTATCTCACTCTTTCCTCCAAATGTAAGAAGGAAGGTGTATATTATGTATCTTTCAAAAAATTAAATTCAGGTTTACCCCTTGAGAAACTTCAGGGGCGGGTCCAGGTAAGGGCGTAATGGGCGTACGCCCCCCCCCCCCTTTTCAAAAAAAAAAAAAAAAAAAAAAAAACTCGTTATCTGCATATATTGTATTGAATATGGCAATTTATCATATTCATTAATTAAACACATACTCTGATTTCTTTTTATACTGATTCCCCCATCCGATGGGTGACTTGGACACCTTTTTTAAACAACCAAAGCGGTAAGTAAATCTATACATGAAATGGTTGTTTTGTGTGACACTTCCCCAACGGTCATTCTACATCTATCCGGGGGATACTCGCTATATATGATACCGGGTATGTTCCGACAAACGGGGGTTGCACTTTCAGCTAAATTGTCTGAAATGGGGTTATGTTTTTTTCGCCTTGCATTGGAAGGGGTCAGATTTGACTATCTAGAACGGGGTATTATAAATACAATGTTACACTATTGTTTCAGATAAGGGTAAATGTTTGGTACCATTAAAACGTTTAAACCCGCTGCAATTGTTTGCACCTGTCCTAAGTCAGGAATCTGATGTTCAGTAGTTGTCGTTTGTTGACGTGGTTCATAAGTGTTTCTCGTTTCTTATATAGATTAGACCGTTGGTTTTCCCGTTTGAATGGTTTTACACTAGTAATTTTTGGGGCCCTTTTATAGCTTGCTGTTCGGTGTTAGCCAAGGCTCCGTGTTGAAGATCGTACTTTGACCTATAATGGTTTACTTTTATAAATTGTGACTTGGATGGAGAGTTGTCTCATTGGCACTCATACCACATCTTTTTATATCTACTAAATTGAAAACAACGTTCAAACCTATGATTGCGTTGGATAAAAACCGCAATTTTTATACGTGTGCATGCAAAACAAATTTCTTGGTAAAGGGGTCTAAATACAGCACAAACAACATTTTCCAAAAGACCAAAACAGTTAAAAGGTATATTTTAACAAAACGGGTATGGCTATATATATATATCAAAAGTTCAGAAAAAGCTATCGTTAAAGATTTATTTTTCATTTTACATGCCCATTTCATATAACCTTTTAACTGAATTTACAACTTCTTCCAAAGATTTGATATCCACATGTTAATCAATACATAATTTGAATGATCCGAAGGCAGACTATTTTCACCAATTTCTCTATCATGGAGTCTGTTATAATACTTCATAATATGATGCTGAATTGTTGAAATCCAGGAGCTTCTGACCTTCCCCACCTCCTCCACTTCCATAACCGCCACCACTGCGTCCTCCGCCATATCCACCTCCACTGCGACCGCCGCCATAACTACTCATGCCATATCCTCCACCTCCTCTGCCTTCACCACCGCCATATCTTCCTCACGGCTGCCATATCCTCCTCCACCACCGCCGCCATACCCTCCTCCATAACTACTTGCAATAAGGGCTAACAGGGTAAGAAGAATAAAGGATCTCATCTTCGTTGCTGAAAAAATAATCAACAGAAAGGATGACACATTAATTGATCTTTATTGTATCAAGAAATATTAGATATATACCATATGCATGGCGTACTAGTAACTTATGTTTTAATTCTTACTCAAAAGAACAATCGATGTCATCATGAAGGATTTCAAAACATATTTTTATCAATTTTAAATTCGTACTCCATTGAAATGTTATAAGGATATTATAGAAAAACAAAGGATATGGGGTATCCATCCATGACGCGACATCAGTACATGCACAGAAAAAAACACACAAACTAGCAAAAGGAACCGCGCTTTGTTTGCTGTTCTTTATCTCAAAGTCACAATGAGGCCTTCAACACAGAGCAAAAAACTCTCAACTCACTGCAAGTTTTAGACGTCTTATAGCACCGGCTTTAGCGGATTTCTTTGCAAAAATAATTTGGATAGACTTTGTAAGATGTAACACCACCAAATCGCGACGGGTCAAAAAAGAACATACTTGAAAGTAGAACATATTTAAAACAAAATAGTTCCTACGCATCGCATAGGTGTAAATATAAAATTTTGTAGAATAATAACGGTATACACACACACACACACACACACACACACACACACACACACACACACACACACACACACACACACACACACTAATAAAATGTTTGAAAGAGAAAAATTTCACTTAAAGCATTTTTTTCAATAGCTTGTCAATGAAAGCCACAACTCTCTATTTATCAATTACAAATGTGTATGAAATTACACAAAGAAATTAAGAAACGACACTTTTAATTGAATAATTGAATTTTGATATTGTACTTATTTGTTTGTTTTTTTTTTATTTCTTTCAAACTTTAATTGAACACATATGATTTTTTTTTTTAATTTTAATAACTGAATTAAAAAAAAAGAAATATATACTGTGAAAAACTGAAACAGCTAGAAAAAACTTAATGTTTCAATGATTTGTATTGTGTCATATAGAGTCGGAATTATCCAAATACATTTCACATTTGAAATGTAATAAATTATCAGACTTATAGAGAAATAACAATAATAGGTGCAATTGGAAAACTTTTTAACAAAATTTTAAATCTACGACTGGACAGATTTCTTCAGAAAATTAGTATTATACATTAAAGTCAAATTGATTTACGTAGAAAGCCATAACGGCAGACCATATGTTCATACTCAGTATATTCCTCATGAAAACATAATGTAATTTAAAAGAAGGGAGACTGTTATCCTGTTTTATTGACTTTTCAGAAGGCTTTTGATACTGTTATTCATACAGCAATCAAAATGAATCTACCAAAGGTTGGGGTTCGGTCTTACTTACATAACATTGTCAAGAGTATGTATGAAATTAGTAGATAATGCGTCAAAATTCAAAATTTCCTCATTAAATACTGGCGTCAAACAAGATGAAAACATTATTCCTAACTTATTCAAAATATTTATATATATGATTTACCAAATTATTTGTCAAGG